ATGTTAACACTATGTAATAATTCTTTAGTATATTACTTGTGTGGTGTAGAAGAGAATTATTTAAGAATGTAATTATGTAAGAATGTTAACACTTTTTTTTTAGTATAATACTTGTGTGGTGTAGAAGTGAATCATTTACTGCTTGTAAACCAATGATGGTAAGATGATGTCATGGGGTAGGACTGGATAAGTCTGACTTCTTCCTACTCCATTCAAGCATGTACTAGGTATAAGCACATTGATATTGGATTAGCATTTGTTGGATATGTGTAAAATTATGTGTGTTGACATATCAACTGTCTTTACATGCTTGAAAGAATAAATCAAATCAAACAAAGAGAAACTCACAATGGTCACTGAAATAACGTGAAACTGACAAAAGTAATAATAAATAAGCATTTACAGAAAATTAATGATAGTCATTGCTTTTGAATTGTGGTTCAACAGAAGAATTTAAAAAAATAACAGAGGCTGGATCCCTCTTCCAGCACAGAGACGTGCAGTAGATGTGGTGTGTACAATGCTGTAGATTATCTCCTATGACCCGGCCAGGACAAAGACAGGCAGGCATCTGTACAAGTAAGACCAGTTTCGACCTTTGGCCGTACTTTGAAAAGTTCCCGCTCTGCATCATGCATTTGATTATATATTAACATTCAAATGAAAACCATCATAAGGCCTTTCTAAGCCAATGTTTTCTTTAGAAAGCCCAACACAGTGAGCTTTGGTGTTGTCTTGGTCCTAAGCCTGTGTGCTGCAGCTGAGGTTTTGTGGCTACTGCTAAATGTTAGCAGATGTGTGCTGGACGTCTTCCTTGTCAGGACTTTTTTTGTGGGTGTTGGGCTTGTACCAGTGAGGGGGAAAACAAACTGGACACCTCCCTTGCAGTGTACCCTTTAGAGCAGCTATTTCTGACTTTCCATTTCCCCACCCACACTAGAACAGTAAAGATGTGGCTGATCTGTCAGCAGATTGGGCCTCTCCCTTTCCAACTCCCCATTCTTGTTTAGACTCAGTTATGTCCTCTTATACTGCTCCAGTTTGCTTCTTCTGCCCTCACCCTGTACTTTTCCTCTCCTGTTCCCTCTAACTTCAGCGTGTCACATTTTACAAAGCTGCCTTTGTTCCTCCATTTTTCCATCTGTCCCCGGGTTTCACACTTTTCTGCAAAAACCACAAAGTACATACAGACTTTGAAAAACAAAAACATTACATGTGTCCAGCACGTGCTCTTCCACTCTTCTTGCTTTACCTCTCATTGTGTTTACACAGCTCAAAAGCTGAAAGAAGTCAACTATAACTTTTTACCCAGCTACACTCAAGTGTCTGCACTCAGCCACTTTGCCATTTGGTAATGTTACTGGAACCATGAAGAGACGTGAGAGTATCTAGCAACATTTTGTAGCCTCTAAGCTGAACCACTGCCCAAGATGAAATTATTTTAAGAAGGAAATGTGTAGAAGATCAGGTTATCCCAGATGTAGCTATCAGAAGTTCATTGACCTCACACTATTGCTAAATTGCACAATTATCTCCTAACTTTACTTTTTTTTTTTTTTTTTTTTTTGGCTTGTGTCTTCCAGTGACTTCCTGATTTTACCTGGCTTCATTGACTTTACCTCGGACGAAGTGGTGAGTACATGTAGTACAGTAAGATCTGTTATTGTCCCAGAAGACTGCGGCAAATAACTGTCACATCTGAGCAGAGAGGTCCCTGGGTATTATAAAGGATTAACTCCACATTTCTTGAGCTTCTTTTACACCCTTCCTGACGACCAGCAGCATACACTGTAGCAGTGTCAGCAGACGGACCGTTTTTGGCCGAGCCTTTTCCACTATCAGCAGGGTTCTCACACGCCCTGGAAATCTTTGACCATGACTTTTGCTGAGAGCAAACTGTCAGAAGAGCTGGTGGCTAGAATTAGGGTGATGTGTGAGATAAAGTTAGAACAGCAAGGGTAGAGGTTTATAGCTTGTTTTTAGTAAACTAAAGCTTTTGTACGCTCAGAAGCAATTGGCTTTTAAATCCACCATGTCACAACATTTTGGTCAAGCACTGTGTGAATAAAAGGAACTGGTCGGATGGTAGATTTGAGGGTCAAGTCTATTCTTGAGTAGAATTTGGAGATACAAGTCAAATCTTAACACATAAATGTGAAACATCATCATACCTTCTGTAGGCACTTCCCGAGGATATCATTATTTGTGATGTCTATTACTAGTAAACCTACACAAATGCATTTAAAAATTAGAGAAAAGAAGGTGCTTCAGAACTTGTTTGAGGATCATCACAATATAGTAATATAAAGTTTTCTTCATTATCAAAGTAATCCAGTGATAGTTGTATTGATGCTTTTCTATCCATGAGTACACTCCAAACAGCAGTGGCAAGCAGCTATTTTAATGGAGCCAAAGCGACAAAATGTAAGCCATATAAAGTATAATTGGGGCTGAAACAGCAACAGTACCTGGTTGTACCTGACGTTACAGCAGCTCATTTGGTGAACTTTTTTACTTTTGATCATTGTTTTTTCTGTCATCTTATTGGTTCCCAAACAGGCCTACATGTTGGTATTTTTTTCAGTCTAACCTGTGATGTCAAAGAGACTGTAGAGAGAGAGAGAGATTCCAGAAAGTAAAGCTCACACATGTATTGTAGTATAATAGTCATACACTGAGGGAGAGACTGAACTGCATGTGTGCAAGTGTCGATAATCAATTGGTCCTAAAGCACCTATGAAGTGTCATCACATGCGACTTAGAAGAGAGTTCCACAGAAGAACCTAAGGTGTCATCCCCACTTGACATCACTGCTTTATTTCACTGAAAATGTCCTGGAAAATTATTTCTTGAAAGGAGTGGGAACCCTGATCAGCCTTCTAACAGTGGTGTCTCTTAAAAATATTTTTAAACAAACCTCTCTATTCCAGACCTGAGTGTCATTTTCATAATTACACCTCTTACAAAAGTAGAATTGTCTTTGCCCATGTAAAACCATCTGCACTGTTTCGTTTCTTCTGCTGGCCTGGTATTTTAGCTCGGTGTGGTCGCTCACTGGCTGTTCCTTAACACTGGTGTTTACATTTGTCTGTTCAGTTGCTCATTCCCATCCAGGCAGATCACCGGAGAGTTGATCTCAGAGCTTTAGTTGAAATCCCTCTCTTCTGTTTTGTTCATCTCAGAGATGTTGAGTTTAATTTATCTCATCTCTCCCTGTCTCCTTGAGGGTTTTATGGAGCCCTCACTTTACTGAGTGAGATGTCTGTCTGCCTCGCACTGTTGTCATGGGTTGGTTTTCTCCACAGTCCTGGGCTGCTGTAATTTCCATCCATCCATTTTCCTCCACTTATCCGGGACCGGGTCGTGGGGGCAGCAGTCTAAGCAAAGATGCCCAGACTTCCCTCTCTCCAGACACTTCCTCCAGCTCCTCCGGGGGAAGGCCGAGGTGTTCCCAGGCCAGCCAAGAGACATAGTCCCTCCAGCGTGTCCTGGGTCTTCCCCGGGGCCTCCTCCCGGTGGGACATGCCCGGAACACCTTCCTAGGAAGGCGCCCAGGAGGCATCTGAAACAGATGCCTGAGCCACCTCAGCTGGCTCCTCTCGATGTGGAGGAGCAGTGGTTCTACTCTGAGCTCCT